CGTTGTAGGCATGAGGTTTGGTTAGTGTGGCATGTTGTAGGGATAGAGCTTGTGTTTCATGCATGTTTCGTCAAAGGAAGTTTAACAAGAAACTTCCGTAGTACTGGAACTAAGTGAGCTAGCTGCTTTGACATATAGGTATGACAGGTAGCTAGCATGACAAATAGATAGCTTTGACATATAGCTAGCTTGACAGATAGATAGCTTTCCAATAGGCTAGCATGACAGATAGATAGCTTTGACATATAGCCAGCTTAACACATAGATAGCTTTCTCAAGTATCGATTTCGTGGCAGGCGCAGCACTTTCGCAAGCACTCTCTGCGAGCTGGGGGATGGCAAGATGCAGAAAACGTTGGCGCTGTGCGTGAATTGGGCTTCCGGACAGTGCGCAAACCACCTCGGCTGCGACGCCTGTACGGAGGCGGGTGCGGAACGGGTTCGGAACGGTCTCGGAGACGGGACCATTGGCACGGCCGCGCGAAGGTTTCGCAAGGTTTGAATTGCGTGGCAGGCGCAGCACTTTCGCAAGGTCAAGTGTAGATTTCGTGACAGGCGCAGCACTTTCGCAAGGTCAAGTATAGATTTCGTGGCAGGCGCAGCACTTTCGCAAGCACTCTCTGCGAGCTGGGGGATGGCAAGATGCAGAAAACGTTGGCGCTGTGCGTGAATTGGGCTTCCGGACAGTGCGCAAACCACCTCGGCTGCGACGCCTGTACGGAGGCGGTCTCGGAACGGTCTCGGAACGGTTCGGAACGGTCGGAACGGGTTCGGAGACGGGCCCATTGGCACGGCCGCGCGAAGGTTTCGCAAGGTTTGAATTGCGTGGCAGGCGCAGCACTTTCGCAAGGTCAAGTATAGATTTCGTGGCAGGCGCAGCACTTTGGCAAGCAGCACTTTCGCAAGGTCAAGTATCGATTTCGTGGCAGGCGCAGCACTTTCGCAAGCACTCTCTGCGAGCTGGGGGATGGCAAGATGCAGAAAACGTTGGCGCTGTGCGTGAATTGGGCTTCCGGACAGTGCGCAAACCACCTCGGCTGCGACGCCTGTACGGAGGCGGGTGCGGAACGGGTTCGGAACGGTCTCGGAGACGGGCCCATTGGCACGGCCGCGCGAAGGTTTCGCAAGGTTTGAATTGCGTGGCAGGCGCAGCACTTTCGCAAGGTCAAGTATAGATTTCGTGGCAGGCGCAGCACTTTCGCAAGGTCAAGTATCGATTTCGTGGCAGGCGCAGCACTTTCGCAAGGTGAAGTGTAGATTTCGTGGCAGGCGCAGCACTTTCCCAAGGTCAAGTGTAGATTTCGTGGCAGGCGCAGCACTTTCGCAAGGTCAAGTATAGATTTCGTGGCAGGCGCAGCACTTTCGCAAGGTCAAGTATAGATTTCGTGGCAGGCGCAGCACTTTCGCAAGGTCAAGTGCCAAATTCGTGGCAGGCGCAGCACTTTCGCAAGGTCAAGTACAAAATTCGTGGCAGGCGCATCACTTTCGCAAGGTCAAGTACAGAATTTGTGGCAGGTGCAGCACTTTCGCAAGGTCAAGTGCAAAATTCGTGGCACGCGCAGCACTTTCGCAAGGTCAAGTACAGATTTTGTGGCAGGCGCAGCACTTTAGCAAGGTCAAGCACAGATTTGGTGGCAGGCGCAGCATTTTTGCAAGGTCAACTTTCGCAGCCGGGGCTCGAAAATCGCAACTTTTAAGTACGAAAGTAGTACGCGAAGTCAACTTTCGCAGCTGGGGCTTGAAAATCGCAACTTTTAAGTACGAAAGTAGTGCGCAAAGTCCACTTTCGCAGCCGGGGCTTGAAAATCGCAACTTTTAAGTACGAAAGTAGTACGCAAAGTCCACTTTCGCAGCTGGGGCTCGAAAATCGCGACTTTTTAGTACGAAAGTAGTACGCGAAGTCCACTTTCGTAGCTGGGGCTCGAAAATCGCAACTTTTAACTACGAAAGTAGTACGTGAAGTCCAGTTTCGCAGCTGGGGCTCGAAAATCGCAACTTTTAAGTACGAAAGTAGTACGCGAAGTCAACTTTCGGGGATTGAACATCGCAACTTTTAAGTGCAGAGAAAGATGGGTAGATAGATAGATCAATAAACAGATATAGAGATAGCTAGAGAAATAGATAGAAAGAGATAGAGAAACAGAGATAGACAGAGATAGATAGATTTGTAGATAGATAGACAAATAACTAGCTAGATAGATAAAGAGATAGAGAGATAAATAAATAGAGAGGTAGATAGATAGATAGGAGATAGAGAGGTAGATAGATAGGTAGATCTATAGATAAATCGCAACTTTTAAGTACGAAAGTAGTACGCGAAGTCAACTTTCGCAGCTGGGGCTTGAAAATCGCAACTTTTAAGTACGAAAGTAGTGCGCAAAGTCCACTTTCGCAGCCGGGGCTTGAAAATCGCAACTTTTAAGTACGAAAGTAGTACGCAAAGTCCACTTTCGCAGCTGGGGCTCGAAAATCGCGACTTTTTAGTACGAAAGTAGTACGCGAAGTCCACTTTCGTAGCTGGGGCTCGAAAATCGCAACTTTTAACTACGAAAGTAGTACGTGAAGTCCAGTTTCGCAGCTGGGGCTCGAAAATCGCAACTTTTAAGTACGAAAGTAGTACGCGAAGTCAACTTTCGGGGATTGAACATCGCAACTTTTAAGTGCAGAGAAAGATGGGTAGATAGATAGATCAATAAACAGATATAGAGATAGCTAGAGAGATAGATAGAAAGAGAGAGAAAGAGACAGAGAAACAGAAAGAGAAAGAGAAAGAGAGAAAGAGAGAAAGAGAGAAAGAGAGAAAAAGAGAGAGAGAAAGAGAAGCAAGGGGCCAAGGACAGTTCTCCAAACTATAGTTGTTCACTGCTTTGAAACTTCCGCCCCCCGGCTCTGCCGGACCTTACTTGTATAACGTGGGCGCCCATGCGACTTGAAACATTGGTAGGGCCGGGTAGGGCTCAGAACAACGCGCCCACTACAAAATGAATTTTGGATTTGAAGCCGGCTCCAATGACAAAGATCTCTAGCTTCAAAATTACAGCATTTGTTTTGTGACCACTGGGGGAAAACAAGAAAGCTCGCCCGAACGCAGTCAGCTGCCCTCGTACCCCGTACCCCCTGCCATCGTAGACTCTTCAGCCGACCCCTAGTTCTATACTACAAAGGGCTGTTCCAACCCCACCTCCCAAATGCAAAGAGGGATGCCTTTTGTTGCTTAGTGAAGTACAGGAGTTTACTCCAGGCAAGGGATTTGTCATTAGCGTGGGTTTTTGCCTAGCCCGCTGACATCCCCCAACCAACTCTGTCCAAGTTGGCTAGCGTGCCGAGTTCCAAGACCATTTCAAGTAAGACTATTCCTGGCATCTTTCTGGAACCATTCAAGTGGTTGAGCCTCTATTTCGGCCAGGCCTATGCACTGCCAAGGCGTGGTGCGTTACGCGGATTCACGTGCGGCTGTGGGAGGCCTAGGTGCAGGGCAACCTAAGCCAGGGTCCGCATAATTAATGTTGGCGCTTGATTATGAGCGGCCACCCCGGCCTCCCCCCCAGCAGCAAGCTTAAGCCAAGATGTTTTGGGCACTTTCTGATACAAGGTCTTCGGGAGTTTTGCCTTTTCCCCTAACTATGTAGCAATTTTGACCTCACAGCCCCATTTGGGGGGCGAGGGGGTTCCTTCATATTATGTTTTTTACACAGCAAAACGTTCACTCCAAGCCCCAAGCTCCGAGCTAGTGGCTGGCCTGCCACATGGATCCGCTGCGAATTGCATTTGGTTTCTATCAGCTTTTCTCAGGAGATCTTGAGAGCTCGGCTTATGAATCCCCGGGGCCCGAAGCTGGCTCCCAATCTGCCGTTTTTTGGGGGACATTGAACTCACACAGGCCGCTGTTGAATTGGAAGTGCCATTGGTTACCCAGTCCAAATTTGGCAAATCCCATGTGCCATACGATCCTAGGCTCGGGTAGCTTGCTCTCGAGGTAGAGCTGCGTGATGTTGCCAGGGGTGTTAGGTACTGTTTAAACATCGCCCCAGCCCAAAAGGAAACTCTACATCCAACATGGGTGAAAAGATGATGTTTGACCCCCCGCCCAACGGAAATGTTGTCAAAAGGTGGTGTTTGACCTTGAGCCCGCAAGACATGTACTCAAAACGTTTGGCCCCCCAACCTCCAAACAAAATGTAGTCAAAAGGTGATACCCCAAGGCCCAAGCCAAGGGGCACAAGGGACACGTAAGCCGCTGAGGATTCACAGGGCGCCCAGCGACCATCTTAGAAAAGGTGCAGAGCTTGGCCTATCCGCAGGCAGGGCTTTTCGTCAATCCGAAACCCGGGTCGGCCTGCGCGTTTGCTTAGGTGCCAGGGGCGGTTGGTGGATTCACCCTTTTAAGTCAAGGGTTCTTTTTTTAAGCCAGGGTTGGAGCAACTGGGAGTAGGTCACTCTCAACTATGCAAATGGAACTTGCCCCAGCTGTTCTCTTGCTACTTGAAGCGTACCAAGCTTCCATTTTATTAAGAGTTGCCTTTCTGTTCACCTGTTTGTTTTTGTGAGTGATACACACTCGACCATGACATTTGGCTCAAGAAAAAAGTGTGCGGCGCTGAGCTGTGCACTTGGACCCCTTTTTCGCTTTTGTGTTTCGTAGGTTATGAGCCCATGGACCTGCTTCGTCGAAGGCGGCCTGCTATCGGAGCTGGAGGTCACGCGGGAGGGCAAGGTGATCTTCCAGAAGGGCGACAAGGGCAAGACTTGTTGGTCCAGGCGGGCGTGGATAGGCTGATCGTGGAGGACCTCAGGCGCGGAGCTGTCAGGAGATGGGTGCCCAGGACTTAGGAGGCTGACTGATGCTGGAGGTGAGCGCAGGATCGCGTGACGGGGTACCGATTGCTCAGGGGCCAGGAGGTCAGGGTGCTCCAGGACTGGTGGTGAATCCGGTGGAAGAACCCAGACCTGGTCTTGGCGATCGTGGGATAGCGGGAGAAGGAGCACATCCAGGACAACTAGGTGAAGGTGCTCTACGGCAAGGTCATCATCCGGGAGAGGCCTGGACCGGAGATCAAGGATGGCAAGATGATGGAGGTCGCGGGGAAACGTATGGGCAGGTGAGGCCTTTGACCCTTTGGCCTGTTGATGAAAATGGTCCGGATCAAGAACAAAGAGGCAATGGATGGGTTGGTCGAGGACGTCGCCCAGAAGGAGTTGCTGGCGTTGCTGGAGGGTGGCAGAGGGTACCTCCTCCGGCAGATGCTCATTGGCAAGGTTGGGATAATTGCGGGGGTCAGGGTGGGCCGCCGCAGCAGCCGCCACAGGTTCAAAGGAGGGCAAATGGCGGCGGGAAGGCCTGTGGAGGTTTTGTGGGATCGCCTCAACGGCCTGAAGTCTCAGCAAGCAGTTGATGTGGAGGGCCTCAGGCGGAGGATCATGAAGGAAGCCGAGGAAGCATTTCAGCTGAAGCTGAACAGGCCGAGCCAAGCTGGGGGGAGCCACACTGACAGCTGACGAAGCGTCCTTCCGCACGGCTCAGAGTGACACGGTTCCTCCTCCGCCACCACCACCTGCTCGGGATACCACCTGAGGATAGTGCCATGCGGACTGCGGCTAACATGGCGGAAGCGTTGAGGAATTTGGACGACGCTACCACCCTCCGGAGGGGACATGGCATCCTTTGCAGTTTGGAGATTGGGTGACGGTGTCCGCCATCGCTGGATCGGCGAGGACCTGGTGGACAAAGGTAGTGGAGCAAGCGGAACAGGCCTACGTGAGATGGTTGGTGGCGACCCCCCTCGAGAAGATTCAGCTACTACCTGAACTGGATTTGGGTCCGGAACACAACTTCCGGGTGGAGCAGAGGGGCGTCTCTATGCTCTTGGCGGCCGTGCCCGATGGGATACGTCGGGATATTATCTCATCAAGGAGGATGTCGTCGATCAACGTGATGTTCCGTCTGTACCAGATCTACCAACCTGGTGGTCAGTCGGAACGTGGGACCCTCCTAAAGAACCTTGCGGACCACAAGATCGGGACTTCCAATGCGGAGGCGCCAGATGGCCTGGTTCTCATGGCGGTGCTCAACAAGCTCGGAGAGGTCCTCAGCAAGGGCAATGGGCAGGTCGGCTTCAGGATTGCATCGGTCAGACAGGAGTTATGGTGGATGTGAGGCCGGAGTTGGAGCACATAAAGCTTTACGCGGAGTTTTTGAGGAGCTAGCTTTGGCATCATCGGCCAAAACTCCCACGGCATGTCCACCTCCCGCTCCCAATGCTAGTGCAGCAACGAACCCAGTGCTCAAGGCGTTTGCGGATAAAAAGTACCAGGACGGCAAACCCGCTGGCTTCGACAAGAAAAAGGCGTCGGGTATGCCGTGTCGGTTCTGGGGCACGGAGGAAGGTTGCAGAAGAGGCGGTGGTTGTAGTTCGCGCACTCTTGGGAGGGCATCACGAAGACGAACCGCTGCTTTCAGTGCTCGGGTGTTGGGCATGCGAAAAAGGACTGCCCCATCAAGGCGAAGGAACCTGTGGCACCCAGGCAGCGTCTAAGATGGTCAAAGGAAGAGAGAGGACGGGAAAAAGGCAGTGGAGGGCCTCAGAGAAGCCACGAACTCACAGGAGGCGCCAAGGCATCGGTGGGGGCTACTAAACCAACGGTCAACGGCAGCACAGCAGCAGGTTTGGGGGAGGACTTGATCAAGCAAGTGACGGGCCTCCTCAAAACGCTGAGAGCGGCCAAGTTCAAGGTGAAGCAGATCTGTTATGGTGAAGCAGATGCAGATCAGGACCTGGCATTGCTCGATGGCGGGGCTACGCATCCGCTTCGTCAGGCGCGCCCGGAAGAACTGAGCGGGTTGGTGGAGTGCGAAGTGGAGTTGGCGTGTGGCACGGCGGTGATGTACAAGCACAAGGACACGATCGCCCTGCTGACAAAGGGCTGACAAAGGAGCCGGTGGAGCCAATAGTGCCACTGAGAACGTTGGTGGAGGCTGGCTTCGTGATCAACTGGACTGCCAAGGGATGCCGTATTGAGCATCACCGGCTGGGAAGACTGGATTGCTGGTTGAGATTGGGCTGTCCGGTTATGGAACAGAAGGCGGCGATGAGGCTCCTCGACTTCTTGGACTCGGCTGGGTCATCGGAATGCCAACGATGAAGAATGGTGGAGATCGAGATTCCCGGAGCTGCCGAAGGAAGGGAAGTGCTGGCCTACATGATGCGGGTCACGGACGAGAGCGAGACTAATGGCAGATGTCCATTCAACCGGAGACTTCGACGACGATGGGAGTCTGGCCGGGGGGTGGTGCTTCACTTGTTCTCGGGCAAGGACGGAAGGCAATGGAGAAAGTCGGCCTGGAGGGTTTCGAGGTCATCACGGTGGACGTGCAAGAGGACTCGCGGCAGGACTTGCACAATCCGCTATTTGTGGAGACTGGCAGACATGTGATCAGGGCGGTGATCGGCGGACCTCCTGCCGAACAGTGTCGCGACTGCGGCACATCCAGCCGGGACCCCCTCCTCTTCGTGGACGGGATGGTCTTCGGTACGGCCTCCCGGGACTCAGTGCGGAGAATGAGCAGAAGGTCAATGGAGACACGGCGCTGTTCTTTAAGCAGGTCGGGCTGTGGCTCAAACCAATGGAGAATAAGCCACCGTGGATGCCAGACATCGGGTTTTTGCAAGAGAGTCCGATGGACCCCATGAAGTACATGGAGGAATCAAGGGCGAGATCCATACCCTCGTTCTGGAACTTCCCGGAGATCATGGAGTTTGGACGGGAAAAGAACATGAAGATGGTGGATTTGGATCAGGGTGCTTGCGGGCATCAAAGGAGAAAGCCTACTATTCAAGCCCTGTTCAAAGGTGTTCCCACTTGGCTCAGTTGCCTGAAATATGGACATCAATTTTCCATCATCCTGAACTTGATCTCCTGCTTGTTGTATATCTTGATGAAACTTGCAGGACCTGCCGGTAGCCTTGACAAGGGATGGGATTTGATCGCATAGGTCGTTGAAAAGAACAATGTCAGATTGTCTAAGGAGGAATACCCTTTTAGCCACGTGTTTGAGGGTGTCGCGCAACACGCGGGTGTTTGCTCTCGGAGAACCGAGGATTACTGGGAGCACGACGTAGACAACAAAACGTGGACACGTCACCATTTGCAGCCTAGGAAGAGCCTCTTCCGCCCTAAAGAGCCGATGAGTGCATTCGCGTGCAGCCTCGATCCTCAGCGTGTGACAATCAAGAATGAGTCCAAAAGTGGCCCGCTTTGCGACGAGTGGTCGCATCACGCAAGTGATCGCATCTGCGGACACCGCGTGGTGGACCGGACGTACTGTGTTCTCCTATGGTGAAAACCATAGCTCAGCCCTGCAGTGTGCTCTGCCCTCAAAGCCTGGATCAATGAGAGACAAAACCGCGGCTAAGAAAGAAGTCAAGGTTTCCAAGTTCAAAGGACTCGAAAGCATATGCGATAAACCTGTCGGTTGTGTGACGAAAGAAGTCAACATTGTTGAGCACGACATGTCTGATTTCCTCAAATCATGCGTAGACGCATATTGTGAACTTGCAAAAGTGAACGTCTTGTCGTTGAGTAAGGTAAGCGCACCATTCATTGGTTCGAAGGTCGCGAGACCTGTCGTAAGTGAGGAGGAGACAAAGGGCAGGCTACAAAACATAGCTGCGAAGGTACTCATGAAAATTCTATTCGCAGCCCGCATGGCTAGGTATGACCTGCTGAGAGCCACAAAAGCCTTGCCGCAAGCGCGTGAGCAAATGGTGCACTGAGTGCGACAGCGCTCACTTGTGTCCTATATACACTGTTCGAAGGATCTTAAAACGCGGGGATTTATTGGGGACAAGTTCTCTGATTGTAGGTTGTGGTTGTTCGCTGACGCGGATTGGGCAGGCGAATACGACTCGCACAGTACCACTGGTTGCACTATGATACTTGTAGGACCAAACACGTAATATCCATTAAATGCTTTCAGTAGGAAGCAGACGGCGAACGCTACCAGCTCAACTGAAGCCGAGGTTATAGCTGCAAATCAGGCACTCAGGGCAGAAGGCCTCCCGACTTTGTGTCGCTTTTTTGTCAGCTCAGCCTGTTTGGAAAGGAAGCGCGCGGGTATGCTCAAAAGGCCGGCAAAGCCTCGCTTGAAGTACCCGATGGCATTGTTGCTCGCATTGACCCAGGCTTAGATGAAATTCGATACGGTAATGTTGATGCGGGCACAAGTGTAGCAGATATCAATGCCTTAACTGTGCACCTCAGCGACAAATGGAAAGTCAAGTTGATGGAGGACAATCAAGCCACGATCACCATTTTGCAGAGACTCCCGGAAGCTAAGGCATACTGATAGAACTCAACGCATTAGCTTCAGGTGGGTTCAGGAGCAGTTCGTGAATTGGCAACTTGAATTAATCAATGTTGACACTACCCTCCAGGCTGCAGACATCTTAGGCGTTTGATAGCACCCCGGTATGGCACCGTGCACTTGAGCTGATTGGTATCTCCCCCACACCCCAGGCGCAAGCCTGTGCTACCAGCTTGCTGTATTCCCCGAGCATCAAGGCCGGAGATCTCAGCGATCAGGGGGGGCAGATTGCTGCTTTGTGCAACACCCAGCCCAAGCGCCTCCTTATTGAATTCTGTTGTGCGACGACCTCACGGTTGAGCGAATCAAGAGACTCTTCAAAAGGTTGCAGTGTCATCCGGGTCACCGAAAAGGAAGATGCGTGCTCCGAAACGCGCAGGCAGTGGCTGAGCAATGAAATTGCCAATTTCAGAAGCAAAAATCCCAAAGGGTCAATCGTGTTCTGTGTTTCATTGCCTTGCGCTGGAGGTTGCCCGTGCGGTTATGTCAACCAGCAAACTCCCGGAGGTGCCGCCAAGATTGAAGGCCACGTGAAACAATTCCGATCGTTGCTGAGAGGTCTCAAACGCGTTCTAAATGATGTCTACTCAAACGATGTCAGAATTGCCTTGGAACTTCCTAAAGCTTGTCGTTATTGGAAATGGCCCGAACTATGGAGTTTCCTAACAAAGTACAAGATGAACAAGTACGAATTCCATGGATGTAAGATTGGCATCACTGGGAGAAATGGTAAACCTATGAAAAAGCAACGGGTCGTCGCTAGCAATATGCCCACAATATCCATTGTTGAGTACTTCAAATGTGATGGTTCTCATGAACAGTGGAGCCCACTTGAAGGAAGCCGAAGGATACACATATGTTTATACCGACGCTGTGCGCAATGCATTCTCCGAACACGCCACCATGCAGCCGTTACTTTCGAGTGTGCTGCATCACCTTTGCAAGGCATTTGCGCATCCTGCGGGGGTTGCAACCCGGCATGGAGGCGGTGGATGGAGAACATCGCTACGACTTCCGCCAAGTACGACAGTAACTTGGCGGCGACGGTGAAAGGGCTGTTAGAATCGACGTCTTCGCAGTCGCTGACCCACACGTGGATTCAGGACCACGGCGATTCTGGGTTATCGATGGTATC